GCAATAACTCAACAACGCCGTAACCGAATTTCAAAAACCAAACATGAAATGATATCAGAATTTAACGTAGCATCTGAATATGTAATGATATACAGGGCGTTCTATTTTAAAAAATGGAATTTTGGTCTGTAGCACCTACACCAAACACCCTGTATATTTAAAAATTATATCAAAATATAGCTCTCATGAACTCCTAAAACTTTTGTATGAAACATTTTTGTGTATCTCCTTCAACAAACCAGATATTGCCTGTCACATAAAATGTGGGACACCCGGTATAGATTAGAAAATATTGATTGAAATTTAAAGAAATCAAGTTTTTCCTTGGAAGGTTGCAAATGTCCAAAAATAAGTATGACAAACTTTTTTGTTGGCTCCGAGAGAAGAGAACAAAAAATGCAAATCAAGTTTGTACAACTGCTATTTGTTTGTTGATTCTTGAAAGTCGAAAAATCAAATTTTCTCCATAATCTTCGAAACCATTCAATTTATAAAAATTTGAGAAGAGCTAATATTTATCATAGAAAATGAGATCTATGAAATGTCTCATTTATTCCTTTTGTTCAAAATGAGTTCTGAAGACCCTGTTTTATTCTACCGAATAGCTTTCATGCATTATTTTTAAAACTCATAAAATTTCGATTTTTTTCAGTTTCAGAAGGTGAGTAATGGAGCTCGAAATTCATAATACCAATTTTGAAGTATCCATTTCAATTGTTCCAAATAGTTCAATGAACGATCAAACGCATGCAATTTAGTATTTCAGAAAAGTTCAGGTCATGAAAAAAAATTTCAAATGAAATATGTTTGTTTATTCGATTCCAGCAATCCAGTTCCAATAACGTTGCTTCAAACTTTTTAAATAATATGTTGAATTTTTCAGATAATATACGTACATCGATCTTATCAAAACCGTTTCATCAAAAGAAATTTAACTTTTCAGAATTTCACAATATCTCTCATGTTTAAAAAATTCCAAAACACGATTTTTTGTCATATCGATGTTGGTTCCATATGACATTGTTATAAAATCCGATACATTATGCATATAGAATCCATAAGGATATATATATCTATGTCAGATCATATTGTCCAGAATACACCCATAATAGTTTCAAAGCAATTCCTGGCATGTAATTTTCATAAAAATATATCTTTAAAGAAAGAATTTCGAACACTATCTGATATTTTGAAGAGAATGAAAAATATCAATAAAATGGCTCATTTTTCCTCAACATATCCAGGGTGGTATTCACAATATTGCATTTATTTTAAAAATATTATTATATTGAATTGAGTAGAAACAACTATCCTGTCTAATTTTCACCGCAGTTATCACACACTTTGAAATCACTAAATACTATATATATCACTACAATTCGCTGTAGGATTGGTCTACGTACTGTTCCTTTCTTTGGAGAAACAAAAATGATAGTGTTGAAAACATGCATTTACATCTATGGAAATATTGTTCTGAAATTTGGGGCTGTAATTTTTTCATAATAGGTATACTTGACGGTTTTTATATATACTTCTAAATGAGTTATGAAAATGAGTTTATTAACACAACTTAATGATACCTGCGATTATTTTCGATGAATATTCCCCATCAAAGATTTCACAAGTTTCGGTGTTTCCTGGACTAATGCGATAATGAGATTGCGCAGCGCATTCCCATCACATCTCTGTATTCCTGACCTTCCTCTCTGTTTTCAGAATCAGCTGTAGAAGTAAGGTTAAACTGGAAGTTTCAACAAAATAGATCGATAAACCAGCAGAACCGTGAAAATATGGCAGTGAATACAATACTAATGGATTTTTCTCTAAACCCCAACTTAATCAAAAATGAGAAACAGCTGAACGCAATCGCTACCGCATTGGAAAATATATTACGCAATTTTTTGGGAAACTGCAAACACATGGGCAGCTTTGATCTGCAGGATGGCTTACTGAAATTGTATCATTCAGAACCTGGAGCTACAATAAATTTGAGGATATATAATAACGGTTTACTGACAGTCAACATCGATTTCTGTGTAGATGATAAACAAGGGCCTGTCTTATCCAATGAGGTAATATATTCACTAAATAGTAATTTAAATGGAAACCAAAGAATATTTTGATATTCTTCTCTTGAGACGGATACGTCGACATCGAGACAAAAAATTTATAATATATCTATTGAATATTTGAATTGACCTTTCAAATGGTCAAATTATTTCATTTATTTCAGTGGTCTGAAAAATGTGACTTGTCAATGAGATGATTTTTATTCCGAAACATGATTAAACGTATACATTAAAGCGATTTTTGCAGATACGTTTTCCTTGAATGAGTATAGGGAGGAGTTATAACTGGAAATCTTCATTTTCTGGAAATAACTAATTATGATTATGTTGGACCACAATTTCTGTATGATCTGTATTTCATTTTATGACTATAGGTTGATTAATATTGAGGTTAACTTTGAAGCCATATTTTCTAAGCAAAGTTTTCTTTCTACGCACAAATTTTGTATATATGTTCTTGGAGGTATTAGAAGTAACATAGGATACTTTTTATTAAAAAAAAATATTTTTTATGTCAGATTGTTTGTCAAAAAGATCTCAAAATCTAGCTACTTTAACATCATCTAACATTCCAGTAATGAAGTTTCAACCATTTGTACTGTAATACCGTCGTACTGTATTATTCACAGTCACGACAATATCCAATTCAATCCAATCCATCCAATTGACTATAGTTTCAGCTGTTTAGAATTTTTCTTTATTTATTGTTATTTTCTTCTGTCATTTTTATGTTAGGTTAGGTTAGGTTAGAAGCTGAGCTGAGAAGACAACAGCAAGCACAGCGACAAAGTCTTGTGAGAGCAGCTGAAACGTCGCTTCAGGTTAGGTTAGGTTAGGAAAAACTCATAACATAGTCTATTCTGTTACCGTTTTTGAAATATGAATTAATTTTAATTTATTTCTTCGGAAATCATGACCTCTAAAATTGCTGATATCTTTGAGCTAAAAAAAACTATGGTATCAAAATATGTTTTGGCATTAGGTGATATTTGAAAGCTTTCTACACTTTAGCGTAATCTCCGTTACTTCAATACAGGGTAGAAAACATCGAAAAAGGATTGGAGATTTGTTTCTCTTCTATAGATACTTTCACGGTAAGTGTTCAAGTGACTTGGCACTTTTGATTCCACCAAGAGCGGTACATATCTCCAGAGATTCAAATCCAAAGTGAATCACTACTTTCGCACAGGCACCGCTCTTAGAGCGCCCTAAGGATTTTTCTGTAGTGCTTGTGTTTTGTGTTCAAAAAAAAACAAAATACGGTTTTTTCGTTTGCTTGAAAATGTGACTGAAAATGGATTTCAAATGGATCACCCTGTATATTATTACAAATTTGTAAACTTGTTATAATTTGCTTTTTTTCTATGTATATCATGCGTATACCTAACGAAATGACAGTAACGAAATGACATTTTCCTAATAATATTGACATTTTCGTCACTTCAGAAATTTCAATCACCTCCAAAACGAATTTACCAAACCATTCAAGCGAAGTTTTTATGAATTTGTTAGATATTTTTGGACAGTGTGATAGAAATATCAGCAGAACTTGTAGAAAGTTCAGCGAAAGGTATCCGAATCTACCGCTAACGTACCTCAAAAAAATTATGCGATTTAATAAAATTGAAATACCACAGATTGTTCATTTTTTATAGAAATGCAAGGAGTTACAAAGAGATATATTGGACAGAGTAGTCGAAGTCAAGAAGGCACAATACCTGGCTCCATTGAAAAGAGGAACTTTTATGAGGTATTATATGTCGTCAGGTATGTTACACGTTTAGTTTACAAAAATAACAATTTTTGTACATAAATTGATGGATGTAGCCATTACTACGTGGTGGGAAATCATAATGAAGAAAAGAAAAATGAAACTTTCTATGTTTTTTACCACTTTTTTGTAACTAACGTTTATTGTATACGTTTGAAAATGTCCATATAGGACGAAACTGCAGTAACGTTAGTTACAAAAAAAAGTGGTAAAAAACATAGAAAGTTTCATTTCTCTTTTCTTCATTTTTGTATATGTTCATTTTATTTTCTCATAGTACATTGGAATCAGTAGATTACACTTTGTTCATTCCTTTCAATTGCGCCCTACATCAATATTACCTAATGTTTTTTTTCACTATATATAGCAATACTCCCTTCCTGTTTACAGCAAATTGTACACCTTTTTGTATGACTACTGTAATTTCAATAAAACCTACTTGAAGGATAAACTTGAAAATTTTCAACCGGAAGATTTTAATTCGATTCATAACTTGGTAACTAATGATTGAACATTGATATCATCGTAAACTGAATTTCGAGAAAACATCCTGTTTGTGTACGCGTTGAGACTATCGAATATGACATCTGAACATTTCATTTTTTTGGTGTGTGTCAAAGAAAATAGGGTGCATTTCATTTAAAAACTATTTTTGATACAATGATTTGCAGGAAAAATAAAGAAAATAAAAAAACACGTCAACAATAGTATACAAAACGACACATTTTGACATATTCTCATTTGATGTTACTTCCCCTATCGCACCTCTAGAGCATGTCACTAATGTTTTTTAAGTGGATCACTCTATATTGTTTCGCATTATCAGATGNATTTAACTTTTTTCGCATTATCAGATGCTCCATGTTGAGCAGATTTCAACAAAGTATAAAACATATGGTCTGAAGCTCATGCTTCGGGAGCTACAAATTATTTGAGTTGAAAACGAGCCACCTTGAATAACTTTTGAAACAATGATTTGCAGGAAAAATAAAAAACAGACCAACAATTATACAGGAGACCACATTTCGAAATAGTCGTTCTAGAGACAAATATGGAAGCAATAAATCAGAAAAAGAGATGTTTTATTAATTCTTGAACAAATTTTCTATAGTAAATGTTCAAAAACGTTTCCGCCACCTTCCAAACATTGGTACAAATGAACTTCCATTGCCGCCCTCACATGGTTGAGAATCTAGGGAGTTATTTCTCTGCAATGTCTCATGATATTCCCTCTCAAATCTAATGTTGTTTATCTCATTCACTTTAGACTTCAGATGATCCCATAGATCCCATTCTGTATGACCTCTTCTATCAACGACCAGGAAAATGACCATTCAAAAATTATCGCACTGGAGCTGCATAATGAGAAGGTGCACCATCCTGCTGAAAAACTATTTCATTTCCGATTAAATTTATATCCTCCTCAATCGCCCTATTGATGCACGGTATTATTCGATTCCCCAACATATCCAAATATTTATCACTAGTCAATTCGATAGGAAAAGGTCTTGTGATGTGGTCACCTAAAATTCCTGCCCAAACATTCAGTTTTTGAGGTCGTTGGGTATGAACTTGACGGTATAAATGAGGATTCATATGACTCCAATATCGACAATTTTGCCGATTCACCTTTCCATTCAGACTAAACTTACAATCATCCGAAAAATAAATTTTATACAAAACTCGATACGTCTATCGACATCATCTTCGCTCAGTTCATGAACTAGTCTAATTTTATATGCATGAAATTGGTACTTATGAAGGATCCTGAAAACATTTGTACGACTGATTCCTGATTCTCGAGATAACTCAGTGAGAGATTGAGAATTTTCCATTAGTCCAACGTGCCCTAAAACTGCAGTACAAATAGCTTCATCGTTGACAACTCCTGAACGGTTATGCTATTTATTGTTAACAGATGAAGTTTCCATAAATTTGTTCAATAATTCCGAAACGTATTTGTGCGTACATTTCTTCCTGGATGTGTTAGGAGTCACACGTTAAAAGGTAAGACCCCGTTAGTCCTTAGCTCTTACAAGTTTCTCAACTTCTGAGAGTTGTCGTTCGTATGGGGGCAACAGCTGATTAACGGAAAAACATATTTTAAACAGATTTTGCAACAGATTATTATTGAATATACGGGCAGCAGCTCTAGCACTATTTTTATTCTGGTAGACAAACTCACTATTTCAATCCGTTCTCGAAGCTTATAATCCATTGCTTCTCAAGAATTCACAAAAACAGAAACACCAATTGTAACTTCACGTGGTAGGTAATCGTTATTGTAGAATGAGACAAATACAAAATCAAGGGAATATCGAATTCAAATTTAACTAGGCAAAATAAGAATGTTTTGAAGTATACTCCACAAAAACACCTATGAAACCTAGGTAACAGATTGTATAGAAGTTCTTTCAGGGTGACTCGTTTTGAACTCAAATAATTTCCAGCTTCCAAACTATGAGCTTAAGACCATAATGTATTCTATTTTGTTGAAATCTGTTCATCATGGATTATTTGATAACGCAAAACAATTGATCCATTAACAAAAAATGGTGACATGCTCTAGGGGTGCGATAAGGAAAGTTAGATCAAATGTGAATATGTCAAAATGAGGTATTGATGAGGTGTTTTTTTATTTTTCCTGCAAACCATTCTTTCAAAAGTTATTCAGGGTGGCTCGTTTTCAACTCAAACAATTTGTAGCTCCCAAACCATAAACTTCAGATCATATGTTTAGTTCTAAATTGTAATACAAATCTATATATAACTACCATTACAATCCCCTGAATACGTATCTGAAACAAAATTTCTTCAAATATAATAATAATTTTCGTCTACAAAACTCAGGTCTCCTTATGGGCTCACCATTAAGTGCCATTTTGGCAGACATTTTCATGGACACACTAGAAAATACCCGCATCCTTAATAACCCCCTTTCTCAGAAACATATTGTATTTTGGTTCAGATATGTTGATGACGTACTGGTTGGTTTTGATGGTTCAAATAGACAAATGAAACAATTTTTAAACTTTCTGAATAGTCTGCATAACAAAATTAAATTCACAGTAGAATTCAAACAAAACAAGGAGCTTAACTTCTTAGATTTGAATATTTCAAGAGTCAATAATGGTTTTCAATTAAGCTGATTAACGGAACAACAGATTTTTAAACAGAATTGAATATCTACCGGAAAAACACATACACAGACCGTACAATTCCCTTTGACTCTTTGAGTCCACTCTCGCATAAGTTATCCACGTTTAGGTCAATGGTACACAGAGCTTTCGCAATCCCTTGACCTGAAAAGAATTTTCAAGATGAACTAAAAATAATTAAGGAAATTACAGTAAACAATGTAGGTATCTACTCTTGAATTTATGAGTTTAACAAACCCTATTATCTTCAGTGTTGAATTTTGAAGTTGGCACCCTGTTTCATTCAACTACCTGTCCTATCTTACCTAAAAACTCCCCATATAACTGAGTTTTTTCAAATTTCACATTTTAATTTTATACTTGATAATGGGGTTAAACCCGAAACCGGTCGTATAAATAAAATTGACTAGTGTTTTTTATTCATTTCATTAAAGTGATCATGACTTACCATAAAATAAACAAATCATCAATCACACATATTTAACTTTTCCTGTGAGTATGGTGTTGACATCGCCTTTCCATGATATGGAGTATATTTTTTTTATTCTTCAATGATAATATTACTATTACTATTACATTAAGAAATAATTATGCTATGTTTAAACTATGTTTAAAAAGTTTTAATGTATCTATCATTCATCTCCATGCATTTAGCTCGAAAGTATTCATGGAGTTTCATACGAAAATAAATATTTCGCAATGAAATCTCAGAGCATTCATCTCTCCCAACGTACCTACCTGCCGAGCTAATACCATACTGGACATTGAATTATATCCAACACATTCATGCAAGATACCCCATATAGTCTTGCAGATGTTTCTCGTTCATTCTGCAGTAGGACCATGCTGAAATCAATCGAGTATATCATCTACAGACCGGTTTCGAGTTATTACCACTCATCAGTGCAAGAAAGATCTGACTCAAACAACAATGTGCCTAAGACTCGATTAATTTCAAGGCGTCTCGATGGCACGTATGAAGGCTTCGTCTAAGAGAAAGATCGTTAACTATTTTGAGCTCTATCTCGTGAACAAAGCCCTTGCTCAACTTATATTTTCAATTTTATTATTTAAGATGTCTATAAGCCTATTTTTATTAGCACGTTTCAAGAAGGATACTATGACTTCCGGTTTGACTTCTGCATGTGGATTCAAGGACAAATAAAAAATCAACATGATTTCTATAAATACATTCTTTTTGGAGATGAATCCACGTTTACAACAAATGGCGTTATCTTTTCCCAAAATTGTCAGATGAAAATCCAAATGACACAATGACAATAAAAACCAATATTATCATAAAATAAATGTATGGTGCAGTACTGTTAACAACAATAGTGAGAAGTTGGTGAAGGCTAGATTATCTACATTCTTAAAAAGGGATCATCTCAAATGCCCAGTTCGACTTTTGAGCTTAAAAAAGGTACAAATTTTTTGTATGATGTATATACTAAGATAAATCGAGGTGAAGCTATTGAGACGATACTCTGTGATTTATCAAAGGCGTTCGACTATGTGAACCACAGAATACTGTTGCGAAAGCTTTATCACTATGACGCTAGAGGTGTCTCTCAGGAATGTTTTGAATCAAATCTCTCAGGTAGAAGCCATGTTGTTTAAACGACAAACTACTCTGATGATTTGCCTGCACTGTTGCCACAGCTACCCCGTACGGGGTAGTTCTACCCCTCTTGAACTCAATTTCCCCCTCTCGCTCACCTCAAGTAATTCTACCCCGCTC